CTGTGCCATCCTTTCAAGAGTGAAACCTGATGTTCCCGTCTCTGTTCATGAATGCGTTTAACATGCTGCCCGAAATAAAGGATGTTTCAGAATAAACTATGCACAACTTACAGTTGCGTATTTTATTTTTTAAAATGTGTTGGAAGACAGGTGATGATACTAATTAATCTGATTTTTTTTCTTGTTTGTTTCATGAAGTGAGACAGATATTTTATGTTGGAGCTTATGCTTCTGCCTGTGCATTTAAGATAGCACTGCATGGGTTGCATTAAGTTGTTGTTGCTATTGTTTGAGTGTGGAAACAATTGGAAGTCTTTGAAATCAGTAGCACAACCAAACTCCACCTTAATCCTGGACGCTTTGTTTCTTTGCTTTAAACTAACTGTACTCTTGTGTCGGGTAAGGGTATGGGTAGTACCTAAGATGACAAGTGTGAAGCCAGAATGATGGAAGTTCAGGTGCTTCACCATGCGCCTCAGAAAGGCCTGCTTGGGGTACTGTTGGTTCAGCTGTGCTTATCTCTCTCTTTTCTTTCTAGAATATGGTATCAAGTTTTCGTGTTTCTGAACTACAAGTGTTATTGGGGTTTGCCGGACGTAATAAAAGTGGGCGGAAACATGACCTCCTGATGAGGGCACTGCACTTACTGAAAAGCGGCTGCAGCCCAGCAGTTCAGATAAAAATCCGAGAACTCTATAGGCGTCGATACCCAAGGACGATTGAAGGACTTTCGGACTTATCAGCTATAAAACCTGCGGTTTTCAATTTGGACAGTAGTTCGTCTCCCGTCGAGCCTGACCTGGCTGTTGCTGGCATTCACCCCCTCCCTTCCACTTCGGTCACGCCTCAGTCTCCTTCCTCGCCTGTCAGTTCTGTGCTCCTCCAAGACACTAAGCCCCACTTTGAGATGCAGCAGCCATCCCCTCCGATTCCACCCGTTCATCCTGATGTTCAACTGAAAAGCCTACCTTTTTACGATGTGCTTGATGTGCTCATAAAACCTACAAGTCTAGGTAAGTGTTTAATAGCTCTGCAGGTTGCTTAATTCATGAAATAGGTGTTGCTTATGACAGTACTAAGTCCAGTCTCTTTGCAGCTGGGCAAAAATGGAAACTCCATTCCCCTCTCATTTTTACCCTTGCCCTCTCTGCTGCTTGTCCCCAAAAGTGCCAAGCCACACTTCAGAAAATAGTGTTCTCTTTTGTAATGGCTATAAGATTAAAGGTCTTTGTCTTTTGAATATTAAATAATAGATTAGCTCAGTTGGAAGGTACCTACAATGATCACCTAACTGCCTCACCACTTCAGGGCTGACCAAAAGTTAAAGAGTAATAGTTAAGGGCACTGTCCAAATGCCTCTTAAACACTGACAGGCTTGGGGCATTGACCACCTCTCTAGGAAGCCTGTTCTGGTGTTTGACCACCCCCTTGGTAAAGAAATGTTTCCTAATATTTAGTCTGAACCTCCAGTTTTGGCTGAAAGACTCGGACCTGAAGTCTCTGCCTGGTACAAGTGAGGAACATACCTGTTGGGGCCAACAGGAAAAGAATTTTGGGGTCAGTAGTTAATAAGTTGCAACAACATAAGGAGAACAAGTTCACTGTTTGTGAGCTTGCATTTCTCTGACTGCAAGAATTCTGCAGGTTGCATCTGGCACTGAAAGAGATACTTTGTGCAACAAATATTCAGAGTTGCACTCAGTTTAGTGATGGTTTTCTCAGCCTGCTGGTCGTTGCCGTACTCTGCTTTAAAACATAGAGTGGAACTTTTGTCTTCTGAGTAACCTGAAATCTCATTTTGCCTTCCTCAGACACCTCACTCTTAAATATATTTGTTTGGAAATAGATTGTTTTCTGTCTTGAAAGTCAACCTGTCTTACCGTACATGGTAGAAAATGTTCCCTAACTATTTAATAATATTGTTTAGAAATACTTTAGCATTTTGCAAGCTGTTTGCATCTTCTTAAACACTTCAGTTTCTTAACTGATAATAGAGCCTTTGAGGCTGTGACTTGTACCTCAGTGAGGCATATACAGATGATTGGTCATTCTCCAGTACCTAAAGCAGCAGGCATTACTGACAAGCATTATGTACAATGCCTGTTGTCACTTTTGTGTGTGTGTCGTCACACTCTGTTAGAGAAGAGTTTAAGATTGAACCTGTGTATTGGTGCCATAGTTGCTGTGGTGTTTGACAGCTCTATGGCTCGTGCTGCCGGTAACCTGTCAGTACCACGATGTCCTGGCTAACTCCTGCTTATGTTCACCGTGTGCAGTAGCTGCATATCTTAACTAGCTTCCTGAATTATTCTGTATTGTGGGACAACTGTTGGCTCATAGTTAACCAGACTGGTTGCCAGCCACATCATCACCCTGTCCCATATAATGCAGTGTGTGCACTGCATTATATATCTGCTATGCAGTTGCCTTTTGTATTCTGGTCAATGATATCTAGAGGTGGCGGTGATGTGCTAGAAATTTCCTTAACAGCTGTTTTCCTCAACTTTGGAAACGATCCTTTTCTTCTGAAAGGAGAATGCATCCTTAGGGGTGTCGTGATATTATAGTTAGAGCTGCATGTAAATTCCTCTTTCCTTTGAAGACTGTCGGCTCTTTGTTGCATATTGCCCAGTTCTCATAGGAGTGAGGATTATCTAGTCCTGAAACATTTGGGTCCTCTTAGGACATGGGCGAGTGGGACAAGATTAATTTAACTGAGTGCTTGTTTGCCTTCAAACTCTTTCCAGAGCACAGTACCTGAAGGTGGCAGCGGCCAGAGCTACAACTCGGATCTGTGTGAGGAGGAGTGGGGAAATAAGATGTGAGGAACATCTTAATATGCAAATAACGAGCCCTTCTGATGTTAGGAGGATATGAACATTGGCTGAAAATCACTCTAGCATGGATTCATGACCAAATTTGGAAATGAGACTTTACTCTAATATTTTTAGACTGATATGGATAGCTTATAGTCCCAGTTAGTAGACTCAAGTGATTGGGACATTGAACAAACAAGTTTTCTGTGTTTGAGAATTAAGGATTCAGAAACCAAATAGGTCAGAGAGCTAGGGGTATAGTCCACTTCACGGCAACTCTTTAAAAGGGATGAGTGTAGGTATTCTTTTGAACTAATGTGAGAACACAAGAGCAGGTGTAGTTTTGACCCACACTCAATAACAAAATAGTTCCACGATCTCTTTTACATGTGCTCAAGTATAATTTTAAAATATAAAATGCTGCGGGGGTGTGTGTGTGCACATAAGTGCACAATGTAGCTGTTCTGAATTGTTTGAGGAACTTGGTGTGTGTGTGTGTGTTTGCTCCACCTGGGTTTTGTTTCGTGTTTGTGTCCTTTTTCTGTGTGTGTTCTGGCAAAGAGGTCATCTCTGAATGTCACAGTGTACAAGACAGTCTAGCTCTTGCAAATTTGCCTGGTTTAGTTGTGTTATTTTTGCATTTGTTCTTCTTGCTTGTTACTTTAAACTGTTGGACAAGTCCAATCTACCTTTATTTCAGGTCAAGATTTCTAACTTCAAGTTGAAAGAAAGTAGAAAAGTAACATGTACGTACTATGAACTCTTAGTACTAAAATATTATTGCTTCCCATCGCTGACAGGCAAGTAGGATTCTGACATGAAAGTTGTACTAATTTTCTTGCCAAATGCTACTGAGGGGTAATTCCCAGACATGAAGTCTCGCTCGCTTCTGTGGCATTAGGGGTTGTGCTCTCTTCCTTCCTCCCGAAAGGCTTACTTACCTTTAGCTGTTTCTGAATTGAGTAATTTTCCAGATGTCAGTTAATAACTTCTTGTGCACGTTCTCTTCTTGTAGTACATTAAAGTAGCTGTAAACATCTTGTCTGTGGTACTCTTTTCATCAGGTATCCAGTGTTGTATTTTGTTCTGTGTTTGTTTAAACCTTTCTTTCAAGGGAGAAAGGATTATAACATGGCTTGCCAAGCTTCTTTAGTACTGAAGTGTAATGTGATATTAAGCTATCTGAATATAGTTGAATGATTTGTTCCATTGCTTTCCTGTTGACAGTTACATGCAGTTCAACCACAATTTGATTGTATTAAGTGACTTATGCCTTGTTCCAGGAAAAACTCAATTGCAGGTCCTGTTTCAATCAATGACTTTAATCACCATGGTTAAACCTCTTTTGTGTCTCTTTTTTTCTAGTACAGAGCAGTATTCAGAGGTTCCAAGAGAAGTTTTTTATCTTTGCATTAACACCTCAGCAGGTCAGAGAGATCTGTATTTCCAGGTAAGCAGTAAGAGTGTGGCATAGTGTAGGTAAACTTTTGCAAGATTTCAGGAGAAAGTGTGGGGTTCTCAGTTCACTTTATGCATTGCATAAGCTTGCAGATGCAGAGTGATAATCCTTACCAAAGTTACGCTGAGTTTGTGTTCCATTTTCTTCAGGAATTACCGTGCACGGGATTTATGTGCAGTTGGGGTAAATCCTGCGCCACTAAAGAGTTAACAATTACTTGGTTCCAAATAATTGTGACTATTTAGAGAGGTGGTAAGCTTTTCTTCTCTGCATGTTTCCTGGCTGCAGGAATGGAGGGCTGCTTTTATCTTTTGTCCCAGGGTTCATGTTGTTGCAAGACCTGTGGTGTAAGCCAAGAGAATTCATAGGGTTTTTTCCTCTCTGGCAACATCATACTTATTGTTACTATAAACTCTTGACAGGGGATGCTGATCCTAAAGTCCTGCTTAACTTGCAGTAGCTAAACAGAGGTGTTGCTTGTAAGACTTGCTCATAGCTCAATAAAAGAAAAATAAGAGCAAAGTTTAGTGATGTTGGGGCCGGCATGCCAGTTCTTTCTGCATATGACTGGAATATGAGATCTGCTGTCTAAATGGGTACTTCTTTTTCTTTCTCTTTGCCACAGGGACTTCTTGCCAGGAGGCAGGAGAGATTACACAGTCCAAGTTCAGCTAAGGTACCTTTTTCATCGTGTTTTCTTACAACTTCTTAGTTGGCTAATGTAACGTAAGTCTAGATGTTTGTGGGGACGTAGGAATATGGTGACACTTGAAAATGACACTTTCTCTTTTTGGGGATATAGGTTATGCCTAGCAGAGACAAGCTGCCCTCAAGAAGATAATTACCCTAATAGTTTGTGTATTAAAGTAAAGGGGAAGCGTTTTGCATTGCCGGTAAGCTTGCTTGTATGTATTTGTGGCTTCTTTGTGACTTGCGGTGTGTGTGTGTTTTCTGTAATGTTAGCTTGCTAAAACAATCAAGCTGTTTATTGTTATCACTCAAATTTCTCTAGTTACTAATGTTAGGGATACGGTTTGTACATTTGCTGTGTGAGATAGCCGTTATGACTGTTAATCATGTTACAGCCACTTCATGGATTACTTGTGTTTTAGCCACCTATAGCAAACCTCATCTTTTGCAATTAACAAAATTTGTCAAAACCCAGTGTCTGCATGGGGAATCCTCCTCGTAGGTCTTCAAACTCAGTTTGACTTGACTGGTAGTAGCCCTCGCTGTTTGGGCTATCTATATTTGTTGTTGTCTTGAGTTCCTTCTTGTTACAAGGGAATGGTATCACCACCTTGTGTAGAAGTCTGTACGCCGCTCTGCATCTGTCTGGTTAGAGCAGAATTCATCGCAGGGATGAAGAACAGATGCATTTCAGGGTTCCTAGCATTTGCTGATACTGGAAGAGAACAGTGTTGGCAGTCATACACTTTACTGGTGTCTGATGTTGCAAAAGTTAGTACGTAGGCAGGGTCACCTCATGATTTGAATGTATACAAACAGGGAAAAGCACTCATTCTTGAAAAATCTCTGAAACGGGTATCTCTGTACACTAGAACAGAGAGAAACTCTTTGCAACCGATTCTGAAATAGTTATGGAAGCTATAGGAGATGGAAAAAGTAATAGTACAGGGTTCTTTTTTTTTTTTAGCAGTGGGTTTGGAAAAATGCTGTGTGGAGAAAAGAGGTGTGAAACCTCTTTTTCAGAATGTTTGTCACCTTCTTGGTGTGTCAGATGTGCTGTCCTGTACCCTCCCTCCTGCCATATGCAACCATGACTGCTTTTTTTGCCTCTATTCAGTTTAAATGAGACTCTCTAGCTTCTCTTCCCCCTGCTTCTTTAACCATTGCATCACTGTTCTTCTATCCATCTTGTAAGATCCATCTATCCAGCGTGTAAGAGAATTTATTTAATGTGTTTTCTGGTCACTATTTTCTGCAAATGCCAGTTATGTTCTCTGTGATAAACTTGAGGATTTTATCCTGTCTTCTGCAGATTGTCTTCCTTTCTTTAAGCAATGCACCAAAAAGATTGGATCTGATGTTATCTGTGGACATTAATGTCTGCTGGTTCTTGGTCTTGCTAATATAGTTTACACCCTGCTATGCTGTGTTATGCTATCCATTTTATATATAACATATGTCACAGTTGTAGCAAAAATTGTGTGTAGTCTTCGATTATTGCTTTGCTTTAGATCTAAATCCTGTAGGTTCTTCCTGCATGTCGCAAGATGATTCTTTAATCTGTTCAGCAGAAACTTTAGGTGAGAAAGTGAATAAATGACTATTGTCTTGGCAACGTCTTTTCCTCTCCTCCTTCAGTGTGAGCTGAATGACAGGTTGTGCCACTCATGTTAACATGGTGTATTCTTGTATTCCTACAACTGTGTCCGCCTCTTATAGTGTTGGTTCTGACTTAAAAGGAGTCAGTGCAGAGCCTTGCATGCTGGTGTCTTGGCAAGTAACAAGGATTTTATACATAATGCATTAGAGCAGGTCGTTCTCCTGTTGACTTCTCTTGTAGGCAAGACAAAACACGGAAGTCCAAAAAGGTAATTTGCTTTTCTTCTCAGGGGACCTCCATAGACCACTGCAGGTCTTCTTCAAAGGACAAAATCAAATATGGTATGGCAGGTTGGAAATAGCTAGATGGAAGAGCAGTCACTCTTTCTGTTGATAGGTTTTTCTGGTTATAGCAGATTCCATCTGCTTTGACTAATATAGTTCTTGCATGAGGCAGGGAAGACTTAAAGACCCAAATAACGCTGGGATTTGCTAGCCACTAGAATTGGCAGGCCAACT